AGCTTCACATCAGTAGCAGGCTATTAGTCAAGTTTTGGGGGAGTCAAATTTATGCATAGTTTTTCAATTGCATGGGGGGATCAGCACATTCTGCACATCCATTCATCTGTTGGGTTATTAGACATTAGGGTTATTTCCACCTTTAGCTATTGTGAATAATGCCGCTTCAGCATTGCTGTACATGTCTCTGTCTGAGTCCCTTCTTTCAATTCTTCTAGGCTTATACCTAGAATTGGAATTACTCTATCACATGGTAATTCTACACTTACTTTCTGAGGAATCACTATAAGTTTTCCACAGTGGGTGCACCAGTTTACATTACCATCAGCAGTGCACCCAGATTCCAATTTCACTACATCCTCACCAACTCTTGCTTTATTTCCCTTTTTTATTCCTTTTTCTTTTTTTCTTTCTTTTTTATTTAATTTTTTTCCTCTGGCATGAAATGATATCTCATTGGGGTTCTGATTTACATTTCCCTAATGACTAGTGATCTAATAATGCTGAGCATCCTTTCATGTGTATTTTCTTCAGAAAAATAGCCATTCAAGCCCTTTGCCTATCTCTGAATTGGGTTGTTATTCTGTTTTTTTCATTGTAGGAATTCTTTTTATATTTTGGACGTGAGTCCCTTATCAGATACATGATTTACAAACATTATTTCCCATTTTGTGCATTGTGTTTTCAACAAGTAGGTCATTTCTGATGAGGAAGAAACCATGATTCTGGGCCCCTAAGGGCCCTGCCTGACTGGGATCAACCCACCAGGAAGACTGACCCCTGAGGTCTGCAGGCCACAGAGCAGGTCCAGCAACAGAGCACTGGTTATAATAATGTTGCAGATATTACCACGGAATACTATGCAGTCATGAAAAGTGATTTGCCACTACTTTGGGGTTTCAACTCTGCACAATGTGGGAATGTTCCTTCCCATGTGGGGCTGCGAAGCCAGTCCCAGGACAGCTGACTAACTTAATCCTATGGGGCCTTGCCCCTCACATGGTCCCCAGGGAATTCTGTATTCTCACCCCTGCTGCCCCAACAGTGGGGTTTAGTTATGATCTGAGATTCCTTAAATCAAGTCAAATAAATCATCAAGATCCTCAGCACCACTCCCCCTTCCTCTTGCATGCTGTACAGCACTTCACAGTTAGCAGAGAGCTCCTCCTCCTTATCTCTGGTCCAGCCCTGTGCACAGTGCCACAGCCGGGCAGGCCCCAGGGCAAGCTCCTGAGCTGCCCGGTGGGGCCCCAGGGGAGAAGTCCTTAGTGTCCCGGGCTGCACAGAAACTGGGGAGAACTGTCAACTTCCCCAAGTGCAGCTGCAGTTTGCCCTGCAGGGCAGCTCAAAATGTTCTTACAAATGAAATTCAGTTCACCCCCTCACATTCGCAACTGGGATTCCAAGAAAGAAAGAAACATTAAGAGCCATCGTTGACCTTCCCTTCTCTATTTCCCCTGCATACATTTGCATTCTTGCAAGGCAGCTCCAGCTCAGACCTAGAATGGCCCCTCTCCCTGTCCAGGGCTCCCTGCTGCTGCTCTGTACACAGCCTCCAGGCCCACTCCATACCGCACCCTTCCTCGTCCCTGGCATCCCCCTTCCAGCCCCTGGGGACACCTACTTCAGTGTCCCCCCCAAGGACTCTCAGACTTCATTGGCTTTTTTGGTTTCCCTCCATTCTGTGCCTGTTGCTCCACCAGCCACAGTAAGCAGCAGGCGCAGCCTTACCTCCCCACTGGAGGGGAGGGAAAATTCTCCTCTCCCCTCTTTGGGTCTCTGGCCAGGCCTGAGAATTCAGTTTACATAGGCAGATTGACAGGAAGGAAGCATCTAAATGTTACTGACTTTTTACATGTGCATGGGACCCTTCACAAGAGAATGAAAACCTGAAGAAGTGCCCAGATCAGCCCATTCTTTTATACCATTTAGACAAAGAACAAGAAATTTATGAACAATTGGCAGGACAAAGGGGTTTGGACTCCAGGTAGTAAATGGTGAAGAAGTGACTAGGAAGATATGGGTTCATCTAACAAGCATTGTTTATGCACCCATTTGAGCCCCAAATTCCCTGTCCCTGGTGATGAGGATGTCAGAAGGGTGCCTTCACCTCCTGCTTCAAGGGAACAAAAGGAAATCAGAGTGTCCTTACACCAGCTGTTTCTTAAATACCTTTAATTCAAAGTAATCAATATGTCAAAGTGGCACATTTTGCAATGGCCTGTTTTGAATCCCTTACCATCTTCCCATGGATGCAACTTGCCCACACCCACTGCTTCACTTGCAAGGGTACCTCCCTGGCCACCCTCCCACCTCTTGGCCAGCCTTCCCAAGGAGGTTTGCCTTTCTTTGATTCCATTTTTGTTTGTTTGTAGAGGGCATTAACTAGCATGTGCATTTACATTTACACCCCCCCCCCCATCAAATGCAAGCTTTAGGTCAGCCTGAAAGCTAGTTCATTAGACACCACTTTCAAATGCTCCACCTTAACCCTTCCCCTCTCCCTGCTCCTTCCCACACCAGTGCCAGATGGATCTTCTATTTATCCACATCAGTATTGTCACCCATAAAACTAGAGATAAGTCTCGACTTGATAACAGACACAAAATACATAATGGTGCAAACACGATCTTTTTTTTCTCATTTCTAGTTGGATGGCAGCTCTCTGCCACCCATGCAGGACCCAGGACCCTCCACTTCCAGACTCTACCACCTTCTGTAGAAAGGCTAGAGCATAGGAGGGGGCACATGCACTGCTTAAGGCCTTGGCCTAGAAGGTTGTATCCGTTCTAGACCAGCCAGGACTCATACATGGCCACCTCAATGCAAAAGAGGCCAGGAAATGTGGTCCACTCCTGAGCTAGAAAAAGGGGGGAAATGGGACTTGGAGGATCAACTGGCAGGCTCCCAGGACTGCCCAGAGAACTTGTTATCTCTACTCATTCATTAACTGTTCCAGTAGGTTCCTCCAAACCAGGACAGATACCTGGATCTTAAAGATTGCTTCTGAGCCAGAAAAGCAGGAAAGCAGCTTGGGGGGTAGATTTCCTCCATGACACTTTAAAGTATGAAATATCACCAAAGACTTAAAAGTCAGCGAATCTAACAAATCGTCTTCCTCCACAGAAGCACTCACGGAGACAAGTGCTCAGGGTGGCTCTGCACAGTCAGAGAGCTCACCACCTGAGTCCAAGTAAGTCCACACACCAGGCCTGTGGGTGCCCGTGCAGAGCTCTGGGGACAAGGCCTCCCCAGCCTGGCAGGGTTTAAGCTCAGAGTTCACCCCATGTGAAGTCACTTAGAGACTCCTACTCAAGGCAAAATTAGCAGCAAGAGCTCAGATGTGACCACTCAGGGCCACAAACATCCCACCTTACAGGGGGTGCTGTCTCCACCCAGACGCCCCACCCCACTCTGTCTTGTCTGAACCTCAGCTGCTTCCCTCTGACTCCTGTCCTGATATTGGTTCAAAGAAGAAGAAAAAAGCACAGTTTCTCTTTTACAAAAGGGCTATTGAGGACAGTGATCTAAAAGTCAAAAGTTGTCAAACCAAACAGCACCCTCTGTAGACCAAATGCTGTCTCTTCCTTGTGCTGAAATAAAAACAATTTTAAGATCTCACTCAAAATTCTTGCCTCAAATATAAGGAAAGTAGCAATGAAACAATTTGTTACAAGGAAATGTTTATTACATGTCTGTTCCAAGCAGGCATTTATCATGCATGCGGTTTCATTCAACCTTCTATAACCTTCTATAACAACCCTACGAATTGGGTATCATGACCACCATTTGTAAATGTGGAAACCGAGGCTCCATGAATTCATCAAGTGTGTTAGTCTACTTGGGCTGCTGTAATGGAATACTATGTGGGGCTTACACAGTAGAAATTATTTTCTCAAAATTCTGTATGCAGGAAGTTTAAGATTAAGGTTTCAGCAGGGCTGGTTTCTGGAGATCTTGGCTGGTCTGGAAGACCTTTCTGCATCGCTTGCAGATGGCTGCCTTCTCACTGTGCCCTCACGTGTCCTTTCCTTTGTGTGCACACCCTGGGTACCTCTTCCTCTTCTTATAAGGACGCCAATTCTGTTGCATTAGGACTCTACCCTTATGAACTCATTTAACCTTAACTACCTCCTTAAAGAACCTGTCTCCAAACACAGTTACACTGTGGGTGAGGATTTCAACACATGAATTTTGGGGACACAGTTCAGTCCTTAACATGCATCATGACTGTGGATAAAGTGAAGGTTCCTATGGCCAGGGTCGTCACCTGAATCTAAACTACTTGATGATGTAATTGGCCTGCTGCTAGGCTACTGCTTCCTCACCTGTAGGCAATTAGCTATTAATTGAGTGAGTCACTATATAAAGAGCTTCGCCCAGTTCTCTGGGCAGAGGCAGAGACAAAGGAAGATTGCAGACCTGCAGACTGTTGGGTGCAGACGTAATTCTAGTGCTCGACCTATTGCCAGGAGAACAAGCCAGGTAATAAACTCTTTCACCCCAAGAATGTTCCATTGTCATCCCTCGGCCTCACTGAATCCACAGTGAAGTTGCCCGGGGCTGAAACCCATTGGTGAGACAACGTCCAAGAGCCCACAGTTGCTAAGTGGTAGAACGAAACTGTCTTAATCCAAACATTTCTTTATCTGAATGCACTGTGCTTCCCCTGCCATAGCATCTTGGGTAGAGTGGAGAGGCATCCCGCTGTAAGGGCTGACTCTTGGAACCTGCTGGCAGGGAGACAATCTCCCAGCAGTAAGCTCTGTCCTGGTGGAAAGGGTGGTGAAGAACTTACACAAGCTCCATTGCAGATCTCAGTATCCATGTCAACTGGAGTCCAGTCCAGCAATACCAAATAAAAATGGCCTCACCTACTCTGTTAACAGCTACACCAGTGGTATTTGGTTTCACTACCATGTACCATACAGAGTGCAGTTTCCAGGATCCCCAAAAAGCCAGCATTTCATTCTGTTTTTCTTTTTTCTCCAATCCATTAGCTAATGTCCTGGAGGGTGACTCCATGGATCAGGATGTTGAGAGCCCTGTGACCATTCATCAGCCGAAGTTGCCTAAGCAGGCCAGGGACGACCTGCCAAGACACATCAGCCGAGACCGGACCAAAAGGAAAATCCAGAGGTATGTGCGGAAAGATGGAAAGTGCAACGTCCATCATGGCAACGTGAGGGAGACCTATCGCTACCTGACTGATATCTTCACCACCTTAGTAGACCTCAAGTGGAGATTCAATCTGTTGATTTTCGTCATGGTTTACACAGTGACGTGGCTCTTTTTTGGGATGATCTGGTGGCTAATTGCATACATCCGAGGAGATATGGACCACATAGAGGACCCCTCATGGACTCCCTGTGTCACCAACCTCAACGGGTTCGTCTCTGCTTTTTTATTCTCAATAGAGACAGAAACCACCATTGGCTATGGCTACCGGGTTATCACAGACAAGTGCCCTGAGGGAATTATTCTCCTCTTAATCCAATCTGTGTTGGGGTCCATTGTCAATGCATTCATGGTGGGGTGCATGTTTGTAAAAATATCGCAACCCAAGAAGAGGGCAGAGACCCTGGTTTTCTCCACCCACGCAGTGATCTCCATGCGGGATGGGAAACTGTGCCTGATGTTCCGAGTAGGGGATCTTAGGAATTCCCACATTGTGGAGGCTTCCATCAGAGCTAAGCTGATCAAATCCAAACAGACCGCGGAAGGGGAGTTCATCCCCTTGAACCAGACGGATATCAATGTAGGGTACTACACTGGGGATGACCGTCTATTTCTGGTGTCACCGCTCATCATCAGCCATGAAATTAACCAACAGAGTCCTTTCTGGGAGATCTCCAAAGCCCAGCTACCCAAAGAGGAACTGGAAATTGTGGTCATCCTAGAAGGAATGGTGGAAGCTACAGGTAAGGCATTCTCTATCCTGGTATACCTGGGAGATCTATGCTCATTTTAAATAGGACCCGATGTTCTCATTTACAACAAAATATGGAAACCTGAACCTCATTCACTCTTGATACCATCCCCTCCTTTCACACTTCAGTGCACCTATGTGTCCTATAACCTTAAGTATATCAAGTATATACCAAGAAATCTAACCATTTAGCTTTTTAAATCCCTTTGGAAAATAAATTAGTTTTTTTTGTTTTGTTTTTCAAAACACTGCCTAATATATTTTAAATTTCTGAATATTTGCTTCAATTAAGTTTTTATCTGTCTCTAAGGTACATTTTAAATGGCACTAAATCATTGCTTAATTTAAATACTTGAGGTTATTTATTGCCTAGTCAGGAGGAGAAGGTAAGCCTTTCAAAGGAAGCCTGACAAATTGTTTAATGAAAATGCAATTTTACCCCTTCCGTGGGAGCCATTTGCAAGACCCATAGCGTTGGTTTTTCTTTTATATCAAGGGAGCATCATTCCTTATTCTCTACCTGCTAAACCCCCAGTAGACATAGTGCTGCAGACCCAGTAAATAACTCTGGCAGGAAAGGAAAAAATTGCAGATCATAATCCTATGGATCTTTCTGGCTAATCATTAATGTATTTTCAGAAAGATGATCTGTTCTCAAAATAGACAAATGGTCTGTTTTTATTGAAGTCTCATTCTTATCTGACTTCACACATGTTATATATCCTAAAAGCAAAGTAGGCTTTGCCCATATTTATCTGTAACATCCCACGAAATAGAGCTATAAACCCTGACTTAAGTGCCACAGGGAAAGTATAAACTAGAACCCTAATTCATGAACTTCCTTACTGTTCTTCTGAGTTACTGATGTGAGCCTTGGGACCCCTTTGGTTATGCAATCTGCCCCTCTGTGCTTTGAAGTCTTCGACTTGAGGCTCAGGTTTGGTTTTGGCCCCAGATTCATCAACCCATCACCTGATATCAGTCATCCCTTCAAATGAAAATCATTGGTCCCATGTCTCTGCCTCTCTGTACCTAATAGACAAGATCACGGCCTCTAACAAATTTCTTTTATAATGGTGGAAACTTTTGCGATAATTTTTCTAAATGCAGCAATGAAAATGTGAGTCAAAGACTTTGCAGAGAACTCAAGGACATGAGGGTGCTCCTTTCCGTAGAATAAAAGGAACACAGACCTCACCTGAAAATGGCGTTAAAGAGTAACAAAATAACGATTGTGAACTATTAAATAAGTGCTGCATATGTGCACAGAGCTATTTGCACCTTCAGTGCAGCTTTCCGATGTACTTGTGAGGCAATAGTTGTGGGGGTCAGGGGAGCGGGTTGCAGAGAAGGAAAGAGAAGAGGGAAGGCAGTAGGGAGGAGAGGAAACGGTTCAAAGGGAGTTCCGTCCTTTTCGCAGACCACAAACTTCTCCCACCTCTGCCGAGCACAGGGACTCTGGATCCCCCTAGTGGTGGCCGCCGAGGTATAATCTCTGGCAGCAGGAAATGGCCCCTCGGGATGCGGTCTGACTGTTAGATTTCTCACTACAAACTCTCCCAGCAGGACATGAGGGAGGGCAGGGGACAGGCCTTGTTACAGTTACATCTCTGGGCTCAAGAAGCTGGAGCCACTGGAGGCACAGGTCACTGGTGTTAAAATGAGCTTCAAATTGTAGAGCTCAGCTTCAAGTTCCCCCAAACCAAAGCCCAATCTCAAATAAATGAGTCTGGAATAAGCAAATGATCTTTGTAATGAGCAGGAATTCTCCCTGGGGCAGGCTCTGTCTTTCTGGTGACAGCTTGTAAAGAGAGAGCCTTTCCAAGGAGAACATCGCTTTCTTATAATTAACGGTGAAGCTTGCTCTGAGTGTTCAGTGGCCTTTTTAGTGGTTTCTTAGAGAAAACTGGGTAGTTGCCAGCAAACAGAATCAAAATAATTACCCACATGCCTGCAGAAAGGCAATCACTATTAATTTTCTTTAAAAAAAAAACTTTTCTAATATCTAGAAGGTGGAGGAGGAGTATTCTAGAAAGCTCTGGATTGTCTGGAAGCTGGACTTGTCTTGATCCTTTCCTGATGGGATTTGTATAATTCAGTACTTCCTGCCCTTCTGAGTCCTTAAGCTTCAGCAGGACATATCTTATTTGTGAATGAAAAGCACAACTGGGACTCCTGGGCATTAAACAGACCCTTGGGGTAAGAACACTTCAATGAGTCAAAACCACAGGTTTAAAAAAATGTGGACCAAATGTACACTGAGGAAATCTAATTCACAAGGATCTAATTATTCATGGTAGGACTAGATGGGAAATCAGAGGCCATGAAAACAGCAAGCTGACACAAAGTGGCTTCTGCTTTACTTGTTCCTTCTTTCAAAAATGTCTTAGTTGGCCTTAAACTACTGTCAGTGATTTCAACTAATGGGCCTCTTTCAAGGGTAAGCTGCACGCTGCAACCTCCACCTGGTGCCCGCTTGCTGCCACACACGTTGTGTGTGCAGTGATCCTGTCCTGTGGTGTCTTCTGGAGATCTGAGCTGTCGTGCTGCAGGCTTCCCCTTGGCGTCCATCAGTGTGCTGCATGCTTATGCCCAGCGCAGGCCAGCTGGCGCTCTGCGGATGCATTGTATGCCAGTGTTAGCTGGACGGCAGCAAGCCTGCTTTGTTGTATCGCTCGGAGTCAGGCTCGTTTTAGAACAGGAGAGCAAGCTTCCTGAGGGCCCGGTGTGAGTCTTGCCCGCCTGTGTCACCCTGCAGGTCCTGGCCCCAGGCCTTCTCTTGACAAGTTCTCTGGCCTCGCGAAAGACAGACTCACACCCACAAAAGACAGACCCGTGTCCCTGGTGGATGGCATGGTGACCTCTCACAATCTTCCAGTCATGTGATTCTATTTTTGAAAATGAATCAAATCCTGGAAAATTCTGACACTAGCCACCAAGACATCTGGAAACTGGCCGTGTCTCATCCCACAAATATATTTTTAAAGGAGGCCCTTTATGTTCTTGACACATGGGCAATTTTGAAATAGTGGTGTTTACAGAAGAGTTCATAGCTATGTAAACAAACATGCTCAGCAGCTGTGGCAAATGTGCATTAAAATAGTAAAGCATTCATATAGACTGTTATTTATAGAGGGCAAATTAGCCTAAAGGCTAGATGACAACCACACGGAGCTGGGCCCATTGCCAGCCAGCTCCTCACTATAGCCTTTCTGATTGATGAACTTCCATATTTACCCCCAACAATTATGCAACTCTGACAAGCCCTTTCCAACACTTCAGCAAATATGCCTTGTTAGGATGAATCCCCATTAAGCTTTTTTTAAAATACTTTTTATTATGGAAACTATAAAACTTATACAAGAGTAGACCAAAGTATGATTAATTTCCACGTACCTATCATTCAATTTCTATAATTGTCAATTCACAGTCAAACCTGTCCCATCTTCCATCACCACTTACCAACTGCCCCCTGCATCATGTCATTTTATCTGCAAATATTTCAGCCTGTGTCTCTAAAAGATAAGGACTCTTTTTAAAACATAACCAGAACTCAGAAATGACACATAATGTTAGGGTCCAGGCTTCCGAGGCTTCCCCAGAGAACAAACTACACAGGCATAGAGATGTAAATTCAAGCAAAGTCTTTATTCAGCCAGCTAGCTGGGGTCCAAGTCAGCCCGATGCAGCGGGTCTCAACAAGGACCCCGAGCACTCAAAGCCAAGGGTTTATATAGCATTTTCAAAACACTTAACTCATAGTAATTTTCCACAGCTGCACATTATTCTTGCAAGACATACATCCTGGGGTTAGGCAGGAGCAAGATAAGACCACTCCTCAATTGTCAGGGAGGTTCTGCACGATAAGCTTGGTATGTAGGATTAGCTGACCAAGGTTAGCTGACTAAAGGCCACAGCTGCCCACCACCCGGTGCTCATGATTAGCTTGTTTTTCAAGGCCTTACCCAGTTCCAGTTTTTCTTTCTAAGTCACATACTCAGAAAATGGCTTCTAGGCCTTTAAGATGGCTATGCTTATGCTAACCTATTTCTATTCTTACAATAAAACAATTAATGATCATTTCTTAAGATCCACAAAGTGTTCCAACCTCCAGTTGTCTCATATATGTCTATTTTTTTAATGTCTGTTTGTTTGAATCAGGATCCAAATAAGGTTAAGACATTGATTGGTTGAAATCTCTTTCAAACCTCTTAATCAGTGAGTTCCCCTTCCATCTCTATGCATTTGTGTTTTTTTTTTCTTTCCTTTTAAATTTTCTCAAAGAAGAGAGCTTCTGAAATATTTAAATACTGCGTAGTGACCTGGGGAAGGCGCAGGGTAGAGTAAGCCAACCTAGTGGAGATACACTAGAAAACAGTTTATACCGGAAGAAGATGACTGCCCAGGAGTGGGTGTCTGGGGGTCACCAGGAGGGGGAGTGCACATCAGAAGCAGGTAAAGGCAAACCTGAAGTAGGAGAAGGCAGACAGTCCTTCACCCCCAGGAAGCTCAGTTCCATCACTAGAATAACATTCACCCGAAGAGGGTTTAGTCACATAAATCACATCCCAGATCACAGCAGTTTTGAGTTGGAAGGAATCTTCACCCGATTCTTATTTTCAGATGAGGAAATGGAGGCCCAGCAAGACCAGTGACTTGGCTAAAGTCAAATAGCCACTGGCGGGGCAGGAACTTGAAACCCCAGACCACTGATGATGTTCTCCAGCCTCCAAGTTCAGTGTTCTTTGTATCACGAACGCTGTTAGTTCATGAAGATTCTATAGAGAACGCACTCAAAAAAACCACTGGTATCTAATGTATAGACAAGCTCACTTTCTTTTCTCCCACAATTAGCACTTCTTTTTCTTTAAGGTTTCTCTGTTGGTCTCCACTGTTATGAATTCATTTTAAAATTCTCTATGCACTCGCACTAAATTTTTTTTTTTTTTTTTTTTGCCTGTGAGTAAGAGTAATGCCACTTTATTGAATCCA